CACACACACACACACACACACACACACACATCTGTGTTCAGCTAGCTATACGGGGACATTCCATTGACTTCTATTAGTTTTTACAGCATAACCCTCACAGGTGACCCTAAACCTAAATCCATGTCCCCAAATGGGGACTAGGCTTCGGTCCCCATATGTACCAGCTGGTCCCCACAAATGTGTAGTCTAAAAATGGCCCCAATACAGTAGGAAATACCTGCCCAAACACCCAAAAAATAAACAAATCTGGACACAACTGTAGAAGAAATAAAGTCTTGTTAGAAAAATACTTCTTTTCTAGATACTAAATTTTTATCCTTCACGTTGAAGTATGTAGATGTTTTTTTTTTATCTGCAGAAATTCACCTGCACAGGTGTTTTTCTCGTGACTCAGACCGAACTAATCAGCACCAGATCGAGTCAAGCAGCTTTTGGCCAATCAAATTACATTCTTTTGATCATGTGACACACTACGGAATCCTAGAGCAGGTGTTTGCCACATGGAATTTTTTTTCCATGTTTTGCTCGAGATAACATAATTATGGTTTTCCTCTTGTGCATCTTTCAGTCACCATAGAGTCCCCKCTGTCCCCTCAGCTGGTCACCGATGAAGTTTACGATCRTAACACAARCTGAAACTGCAGTTTGTCTTGTACAGATARCTTTCAGCCCTCATCATTTAAAGGGGCTATATCATGTAAAATCCACTTTTATGAGTTTTATATCATGTTATAATGTAATCAAAAACATACAAAGAGTCTTGYTTTGACTCATTGAGAAATCCTGTTCTGTCCTGAGGCAGCAGGCAGGGGAGCAAAAATGACTGGTTGGGTCTAGAACCACCTTTTGGGATCAGCTCCTCCTCTGGGCTGTGTCTCCAAGCTGAGCTACCTCATCACAGAGCACACACACACACACACACACACACACACACACACACACACACACACAGAGCCTGTGCTGAAGCGGACGGGACAGAAGTAGGAATGCACGATATAAACGACATACGGTAGAAACGATATAAATTTGTCCTATGGTAGAGATCTGTAGTCTACCGGCCAACCGCGCAATTCTTTTTGGTGACGTAACCGGCTGGAGTCAAAACAGAGGAAGCGGGAAGCAGCGAGGCTGAGAGCGCAAATGAAGAGGGGGGGAAAAAAACATAACTTATCCGGACCTGGTTCGGGTGTGCGAAAATGAACGCCGAACTGTTKACATGTTTACGTGACGGCGCGTCCTGTCGGCTGCAACGGGAGGAGCGCGCGCCGCGACACATGGTGACGCAGCGAGACGACTGTCAGTGCAGGTGAGGACGCAGAGAAGCTCATTGAGTCTGGACCTGGTTTCTCCTGCGGTCATAGCGCAGTACTGTCTCCCTGTACAGCGGGGAAGCGCTGTGGGAAAGGCTGACAGTCGGACAGTCTTCTCAAAAAAAAAGCATAAATGGTATGATTGTCACCCCGACGGAGCGCGCACAGATTAAACAGGTGGAGTGCAGAAAAAGTAATCTGTAAAGTGTGTAGAAAGGAATAAATACAAGCAATTTGTTTTACAGCCTTAAAACGAAGCAGGTGATTCCAAACACAACATCCAATGGATGCAGATATCTATTACATTAAAGCTTGTGTGTGTGTGTGTGTGTGTGTGTGTGTGTGTGTGTGTGTGTGTGTGTGTGTGTGTGTGTGT